CTCAACACTATTTATTCCGTTGATATTTTAAATAACAACTTGTTACCATCAATTACACATCATTGATGAACTTGAGCAAAGCATTCCGTTGGTTTTTCAGCAAGACAATGCTGAAATGCACCATGCCACAGGGCTAAAATTGTTTCTGAATGGTTTGAAAGCAAAAATATTGAGTTTCTAACTTGGGCACCAAATAGCCCAGATCTAAATTGCATTGAAAATATTTGGAGTTGGCTTGATAAAGAGGTCGCCAAGCAAGCACCAAGGAGCCTTGAGGAGTTGTGCATTATTTTACCAACAATACTTGGAAATATTCCCAAACATATTTTAAAAATTTAATAGACTCAATGCTAAAGCGTATAAATGAGTACTTAAAAATTCATGGTAGAATTATGCTGTATTAGGTAAAAATTATCGTTTTTTAATCTGTCGTTCTTAACTTTTTCACGATTTTTTTTTAAATAAAAATTACTTACTAAGCTTTAAATACATTTTTTTTATTTGTTTAAAAGTTTTTGGCATTACTATTATTTTTTTATTTTGTTTGTATATTTTCTAAAACTTATTATTAGTTTTTTTTTACAAGAAAAATATATGTGACTAAATAAAAATTTGAAAATAAAAATAAATTATGATCTGTTTTTTGGTGGCTCCTAAATTTTTCACAATACTGTATATATATATATATATATATATATATATATATATATATATATATATATATATATATATATATATATATATATATATATATATACAGATATATATATATATATATATATATATATATATATATATATATATATATATATATATATATATACAGATATATATATATATATATATACACATATATATATATATATATATATATATATATATATATATATATATATATATATATACACACACACAGATATATATATATATATATATATATATATATATATATATATATATATATATATATATATATATACACAGATATATATATATATATATATATATATCTGTTTGTGTGTATGTGTATATATATGTATATATATATATATATTTTATGTATATACATATACTATATGTATTCACAATACTGTATATATATATATATATATATATATATATATATATATATATATATATATATATATATATATATATATATATATATATATATATATATACAATATATATATATATATATATATATATATATATATATATATATATATATATAATTTAAAAATATATAAATAATATAAAATAATACATATTCATTTATATAGATGGGCCATTCCATGGCGCAAAATGAAAAAGTAGTCAAATTTTATTATATTTTTTGTCAACTTTAGCAAATGAATATTGATGTAGATACTACATCAATATTCATTAGTTTATTTAGAATATACCTTTAGCACTAAAATTAATTTAAGTCATTTTTATGCTTCCGAAAGTTACCGTTTTTTCTCATTGTTACATGATAAAAAAGGTATCATTGTAAAATGTTATTCTAAACATGAATTTATTTGCATAATCGGAATAAAATTAGCGTGAAAATGGAGCTAAAATGTTCAAACTGTTGTTTGTCAGATTTTATACTTAATAAAATATATATATTCTAAGAAAATAACGAATGAACTTTTGCAACTTTCATGTAACATAAGTTAACAAAAACATGATAAAGTTTTGTTTGTTATAAAATTTAGTTAAAAAAACTTAAGTTTTTTAATAATATATGCGAAAGAATATTAAATATAACATTTTTGCATTTAAAGTTTTGAATAATGATGCTTATTTAGAGCACAATTTCATTTTAAATTTGTGTAACGTAAGATAAAACTACAAACATTTTCTTAAGTTCTGGCGCTTTTTCGTTAACAAAATGAATTACGTCATTAAGTAATTATTATTTCGTTGACAAGGTTTTAACTGGAACTTTTTATATTAGGAGAAATTAGAAAAAAATCTTTTATTTTTTTTTAATGTTAATTAAAATTATTTATATTATTGCTTTTTTGTTTGTTTATGTATTCTTACTTTATATATTGTTTTGTGTATATATATATATATATATATATATATATATATATATATATATATATATATATATATATATATATACATAATATTCAATCAAAATATTAGCCCACTTTAAAAGTCGTGAAACTAGGTTTGAACCCACAGGCTATTTTTTATGTGCTTCCATTTAGACCCACTTCACTCTATCGCTTTTCTCTTTGTTCTATATCACTCTCCTTGATCTCAAGACTGCACTCTTGATGTTATTTCTAATCAAATTGCCCCAGCCCTCTCTATTTATCTATTAGCCAATATTGTTGTTGGTGGTAACTTTAATGTTCATCACACTGAATGGCTCGGCTCTAGTGTCAGTGACTCTGTAGGCATTAAAGCCCACAACTTTTGCCTTTCTCATTTCCTAACTCAAATAGTCATCTTTCCAACTCCCTTTCCAGACAACTTGAATTTACTTTCTCTACTCGACTTATTTCTTGTTTCTGATCCTAGTTATTACTCAGTTTCTCCACATTCAATCTTAGGTGCTTCTGATCATGGTTTGATCTCTCTAAAACTGTTATCTCATTCTTCTTTATCATCAGAATCCCCCTATCATTGTACCTCTTACAACTACCTTGAAGCTGACTGGGACTCTTTCCGTGATTTTCTTTATGATGGCCATTGCATACAATCTTTTGTCTTCTTGCTGATAAATGTGCCTCTTCCATAACTTTATGGATTCAGAAACTTTTATTCCCTCTCGACAATTCCAGGTAAAGCCTTACTCTTCTACATGGTTTTCTTCACAATGTGCTATTGCAGTTTCCAATCAAAACCGTTACTTCCATATCTATCAGCAAAACAATTCTCCAAAAAACAGACATCTGTTTACTATTGCTAGAAACCATTGTAAAAAAGTTTCGTCTAACACCAAAGCTCACTATTCTCAGATCATGAAATCTCGTATTTCATTTCAAAAATTAGGTTCTCATGACTTCTAGAGAATCTTTAACAGTATCTATAACAAGACTTTGTCACCTCACCTTAAAACAAAGTTGGATTGTTTGCTAACAACTTTTCATCAATATCGCCTCTTAAATTCACTAGTTGCGTTCTACTTGATATAGCCGTGAAACAGGTTGATCCATTACTTGACATTCGTATCACTCCAACTTCTGTATCTAAAGTGACTTCCTGATTAGACTCTTCTACAGCTTGTGGTCAGACCTATTAAAGTCTTGCAGAAGTGTTCTCCAGAGCTATCGTCTACACTTGCTAACAGTAATAACCGATAGGTTTTATTGTGCATTAGATGAAGGTGCAGAGGTTAAGGCTATCATTCTTGACATTTCTAAAGCTTTTCATAAAGTTCAACATACTGGTCTTCTTCATTAGCTTTCTTCTTACAGTGTATCTGGTAAAATCTTTAAGATTATTGAGTCCTTCCTTTCTAATCATAGCATAAAAGTTGTCCTCAATTGACTACAATCTTCTTACTATCCTGTAACTTCAGGGGTTCCTCAAGGTTTAATGCTTAGCCTATACTCTTTTTAATTTAAATTAATGATCTTCCAGATATTCTCACATCTAAGGTGGAATTAATGGCTGATGATACTACCATTTATTTACTTGTCATGATGAGAAGCCAACACTATTTGATTGCTTGGAGGGGGGCATTTGAGCTTAAAAAGGATCTCACTTCAGCCAAGCAATATCACAATAACTTTAATCTTCCTATATTTATGAACAGTAATGTACTCAATGTGTCATCTACCCTTTATTTTCTAGGATTACCTCTTACTTCTGATCTTTCTTGGAAACCATATATCAAATTCATTGCAAAATTAACATCTGCTAAGGTTGCATCTTTTTATCAAGCTTGACACTTTCTTACTCCGGATTCTATTCTCTATCTCTATTAATCTCAATTCTGGCCTTGTATGGAATACTGTAGCCAAATTTGGGGCAGATCTTCTAATGATGCCCTTTTTTTTTTAGACAAAGAGCAAAAATGCATTGTAAACATAGTTGGACATGCTCTTGCAGTCAACCTTCAACCAACATCATCATAATGTTGCTTCTCTTTCTCTTTTCTACAAATAAAATAATAGACACTGCTCTAAAGAAATAGCATCTCTTGTGCCACCTACTAAAGTTCATTCTCGCGTTACTCAATATTTAATTAAGTCTAATCCTTTTACTGTGACTGTTCCTATGTGCTCCAAAAAGTCTTATTCGCCTAGTTTTTTTCCTCAAACATCAGTTTTTTGGAATTCGCTTCCTTCATCTTGCTTTCCTAATTTAAATAATTTGCAATCTTTTAAGTTGTCTGTCAATCCTTATCTTGCTCAACAATCTTCATCTTTTCTCTTTCAGTAACTTCCAGATATAATAGTGGTTGCTTGCAGCCTTGTTGGAAACAAAGATGTTAAAAAATATATTTTTAAATTTACATTGACTGAGGATTTGGTTTGGGCCAGTAATAATTTTTTTCAAAATTCTTTGTTTTTTTTCTTTTTTGAAATATTGAAGAGCACATTTTAAGAATTAAAGTGCACAAAATATATATAAGGATATTGTGTATTTGTATATTGGCATATTTATTTTATTTAGTGTTTGAGGAAAAATTATACAACTAAAAAATTCTTAAAAACATTTTTAAAGTAATTAATATTTTTAATGCTAAATAACTCTTCAAACCTAACTCATCAAAATATGTTTTGAAATTTATAAATTCACAGTTTTACTTTGAGTTAAAAAAAAATAGTGTGAACAATTTGAAACTTTTAAACTACATAATTAAATTTAAAATTGAAATTAAATTCTTTACATAGATTTAATTTGTGGGACTTTTACAATAAGTATCAACATTTTAAAAAAAATTTTAAATCCATTTAACACAATATAATTGTAATAAAATAAATAGATAATAAAATATTTATATTATAAATAGATAATAATATTATATATTATAAATAAAAACTTACAGTAACTGCTAGTCCAATACTTTTTATTATGACTCCGCTTTCATATGGTTCTTTAAATCCATACTTCTTAATAAGAAACTCTAAAAACTCGATCATTAAAAAATTATGTTTCTTATTAAGCATTTTCCATATAAGTCGAAAAACATCAGATGTTGTTATAGGAGGAATGTCATTTTGATTTGGTGGGAATTTGAAGTTATCATAAATCAATAGTTGTTTCTGCAGCGGACCAAGTTTGAGATCCAAAAAAGAACTTTTTGACTCCATTTTGCAAATCTCTTGATTAAGTTCAAATAATGTACAAATGTTTCGAAAAGTCATGAAAGATTGGATGAAAGCATTTATCTAAATGTTTTAAAAATTAAACTTTTTAAAGTTATTAAAGTTTTAATTTAGATATGCATCAAGTTGGCAATAGCAACAATTTCTACAATGCTATTATGTAGTGCAGTTTATAACCAAGCCTTTTTATAGTTTTCTTTAACTATAATGTCAGGTAAGTTAGTTGTAAGATAGTTGTCTTTTTTTTATATTATTGCATTTTTTTTTTTTAATTTTTTTTTTTGCAAATAATTCTTTGTTTCTGCTTGTTAATACATATAATAATAAAGAACTAAATGCTGCTACTTATTCGTGCTTGACACGGAGCTGACAGCATCCATTTTTAAGCACTTTTTTTTATAAGAAAACATAAGAAATTTATATACAAAAATGTAAATATGTAACTTATATAAGTTTAAAATTATGTAAATGTAAACATTCCTTTTATATAACACTGTATAAAACAGTCTGTAAGCCTAGTTGAGTGTCTGAATAGTTTATGTAAAGATTGTGTATGTATATATAAAAAAAACTTTTAAAACTTCTAAAACTTTTAAGCTTTTTTTTTTAAACTTTTTTGCTTAAACTATTATGTTTTTGTATTTAAAAAATTGGCATGATTGAGAAAAAAAAAACTCTCCAAGGAAGAGAAATTAAACATAAATATTGAAGTTCTAGATTTAATACTTTAATGAAACAATATAATGAAAGATACTTTACAAAAAGTCTGATTTACAGCTGATACTAATTAGGTCTGTTCTGGATGCAGTACACTGTAAAATCATCCCATGTCACAATCATGTCCAAAAATGGTTGAGCTTGCTGCAAAAATATCTTTAATAGCATGCTTAACTGCTTGAGAGTGACTGAGTATACCAAAAATAAAACTAAACTAACGGTGTTGCAGTCCAGTCAATCATATCAATCTAAGTCAAAGGATTTGCATTAAGTTTGATGCTTAACTTTGTAAAACACATACAAAAGAACTACACAAATTACTTAAATAATCACAACAGAAATGTCATACAGTGTCAAATATCAGTGTCACAAATACCAAAAAGATGTTTTTGGAATATCTGTTGCTCTGCAACACAGGTTTCAATATTTTCCAACTTTTTGCTCCAAGCTCATGACACTGCTTCAGCAAGTAAAAAATGTTCTTTGGATGATCAGCACAAAAAAGATGACTCTTGATGTTGCATGAAGAAGCATAAATTTTTACAATTAAAATGCACAATTTTGTAGAGTGATAGGGAACTAGGGTTTCCAATTGGTTTTAACAGGTAACCAAAAACCATGGTTTTTTGTCAAACCTGATACAGATGGAAAAGCATTGGTTTTCAAAAACGGTTTTAGCGGTTTTTTGTATAATGTCTTTTGAATGTTTATTTGTTATAGAAAGGTATAAAAAAATCAAATTTATAAGTAATTTTTATTTTATTATTAAGATTCTATTTTGCTGGAAAGCTTAACATGTCTTTTCATTTTCAAAATCATCTAAGTATTCCAAAAACAAATGTTCAAATATCGAACAAAGCCCGCAAATATATTCTAATATAAATATTTGAATACTCAAATAGAAGGGCCTATTCTCTATATTAAAGATCTTTATTCCTTTAAAAAAAAAACATACAGATATTTTTAGTGTATATTTGGGTTCAATAAAATATTAACGTATAGGAGTGTAATAAAAATAAATCATGATAATGTTTCTATCAATTATTTAATTTTTTGAAAATATATTTATCTTCCAGATAAATCATGTCATCAGTTTGGAAAATTGCTGCCAGGCATAAAATTCCAAATTTAAGAGATGTTGAAGGCACCAGTAACAGATGCAGTTCTGTTGTAACATACTCCGGTGGATCTACAACTACTTTGCATAACCATATATTGTGTCATGGAATTTACAATGAATCGTCCTTCGATTGGAGAATCAAGCAGCAGTTCAATTCCACCACTGGAAGAAAAAAATTAATTAAACCATTAAACTAAAAAATTAAACCATGAACAGTTATTTACAAAAAACTAGCCTTAAAGAAATTGTAACTGATCTAGTTACAGATAGTGTTTTGATTAATACATTAACTAACAACAAAATTATTTACTCATCGATTCAACAAAGAGGAAATTATCTTCCTAAAAGTTCAACAACTATGATGAACTTAATTCATCAAGATATTTCTGATAAAAAGGAAGCGACGAAACAAGAAATTATTGAACAAATTCAAATGGCACATAAATTCAGTTAAACGTATGATGAATACGCATCTATGAGGCACAGAAGGTACATTGGTATCAACCTGCACAAAAGCAAATGTAAGAAAACCTATAAAACTGACCTCACTAGGTTTTATGGTTCCTCTTTAGCTAAAAATTTAATACAAAATATGAAGGATCATTTAAATTTATTTGGTAGAAAGAGATGTAGTAGGTCGTACTCAAGATGGTGCAGCAATCCACAAGAAGCTCATGCAATTAACAGACATTGTTGATCAATTTTTCTTTAATCAAGCAATTTATTTTGGTGTATGCATAATACACATTGCATGCATATACACATAATACAAAAAATATAAAGACACAAACATACCAATTCCTAAAGAAATGGAGGTAGTTCAGTAGAGGATGAACATGGAATTTATGTTCATAATTTTATTTTGAATCAGTAAACAATGAGATTAATGTTGACTATCCTGAAACTTTGATGAATGCAGGAAAAGTAGGGAATCATCAGTTTGTAATCATATTTTTTGAAAAAAAGTTACTTAGGAATTTAGTAAAGAAATCAAACTGTATCTGGATGTTCGTCATTTTGAGTCATTAGCTTCATTATATGCTGTTTTAGAGCCAGCAAAACTAGCAATGGAGGTCCTCAGCAGAGAAGATGCTATGTTATTGATAGCAAATACTGTTCTTGAATTTATGCTTGCAAAAGTATTTGCTATGAATACAGAAACTGCATCTTTATTGCATTCAAATTTAAAAAAGCGCATTGATGAAAGAATTTAACGGAAATTTTATGCAGTCGTTAAGGTGCCTGAAAGATCCTTCAGTTGTTCCATTTAAAAATACTTTAAATTTTGCTGTAAACTTGTGTTTAGGCTTTTTGGATTTATTTGTAATGATGAGGAACCACTACTAGCTGAAGCACCATGTACAATATTGGAAAGTTTACCTTTTGTTCTTAAGGATGAACTAAATGCACTCCTCAATAATAATAGCATCACACACTTGCCCAAATCTACTGATCAATTCAAATGGTTTAAACAAGAGTTTTCCCTGCACCAAAATACGGGCAAAAGAACAGAAAATCTTGAAAAAATTTACAATGCAATTCCCTCTATTAAGCTCACATTGTTGAACACATTTTTTTGAGCTGCACTAGTTTCTGCACAAAAATCAGATCACGGTTATCTGATAAATTGTTAAAACCTTTAGTTTTCTTAAAATTTTATTACAATAAAAATAAGTCATTATAAGTTTTATTTTGAAATATAAACAAAATGTCATAACACTTTGTTTAAACAACTTTTTTAATAAGCAATGCAAGATAAACTTAGATAAGTTTTATTATTTAACAAGAACGGTTAAGCGCTGGTCTTTTTTAAATTAAAACAGAAACCATGATTTTTTATAAATGTGGTTTTTTAGAAACCATATAGCCCTATAAACCCTATAAACTAATTTCTTTAGCCTCTACAGTTTCCTGTGCTCTCACAAACAACTGCTTGTAGCATACTTGCTGAATTTGTATTTTTAATTACCGATAATATCTTATTTGCTTATTTGTTGATTTGAAATGATAGAACAACATAACATTCTTCCTTTATGCTCCTGCATACACCAAAATTATCAATAAAAACTAAATCTTGTTTATAAACTTCTAATTACATACATTTTATAATCCTAAAAAAATAAAATCCTGGTTGTTCAAACAACCAGGATTTTATTTTTTGAAGTAATTTTTTGCTTCCTTTGTCAAACACCCCATCAGTTATTCAAAGTTTTCCTTTGGCTCAAGATACCATTGCATTGCGTTTCAAAATATAACTTTATCGAATTGTGATGTAAATGTAATCAGGTCGTAACCACGACAGTCATAACAAAAAATCCAATGCTTAAAAACCACAAATAAAATGTGGCAATCAATGATGTAGGAAAAAAAGTATAAATGATTATTAACAACCATGTATACAGGGCTCAATTTAACGGTCAGACATTGTCTTTGAAACTGATTTTTTAAAACGTTTAATATAAGTTATGCAAAACGCTTTTACAAATTACTTCAATTGATTGTTTAATAAATGACCAAATATATTTATTATTGAAAAGAAAAAAAACTTAATATTTTTAATTTGTATAAACAACATTTTTTTTAAAAAGTTGCAAAAAAAAAATTGTTAAAAAAAATAACGTTGTTTTTTTAATATCATAGTTTTTAATCATTTCATGATTTAATTAGTAAGTCAAGTTTAAAAAATAAAAATTTTAAACAATTTTTTGTAAAAAAAGAAACAAAAAAATAAATAAAGCAATTAAATCATGGGAAGATTTAATTAAACTTATTCATCATTTAAAGTTAAACTTAAAAAAATAATCATTAAAAAGAATTTTAGAACGACATGGAAAAACAGTTTCAAACGTTTAAATTTATCATAAAAAATACATACCTAATAAAATATATATATATATAACATTTAGTTTACATATAATGCGTTCATTTTTTAACAATCATTATAATTTTTTATTTGATTTTATTTAAAGCCTTTGCGTAAAATAAAAATTTTAACAAATATATTTAAAAGTTATTCATAAGGGAACGTTTTTTGCATATAAATTGTAAAAACATAAAAACAGCAGTTATCAAATTGTACACAGTGGCATAGCTACTTAGGGGCTACGCGGAGCAGTGCCCTGGGGCCCTTGTTTCAAGAGAGAAAGCTAGAAAAAATATTTAGTCACTTGGTAGGCCCGACCTTTATATAATAAACCCTTGAGTCTTCTCTATTTCGTTATATAAG